GGAGAGGGCGGGCTGGCGGGGCGCCTGGGTGGGGACGCCCCACCGCCCACCCGGAGAGGCAACTCCCGCAAACTAGAGGGACCCCTGGGGCAGAGGCTGGTCCCCATCTCTGACCTCTGTTTATGCGCTGACCACAGAGAAGCCCCCCCCCATAACTTAGCAAAGACGGGCAGGTGGAAAGGGCGCAGACCCAGCTCTAACCCCAAGGGAGAAACAGCGTTGTTATTATTATTTTTTATTATTATTATTATTAGACATCATCTTTGGCAAGAGGACTCTTTGCAAGGGGTTACAACAATTTTTCTATTTTTGTGACTCAGGTTGTTTTCTGTTTTTGGACTCAGGTTGTGTCGGGGTTATCTCCGCACAGACAGGTTCAGATCAAATTTGAAATCAGGAAGAGTGCCTGGAACTGACAGCGCGGTCTGGTCAGGAGAGATGGCGATTGGCGCACCCTCGGGTGAAACGACATGAAATGCAATGTTGGGAAGGGGCTTCAGGAGAAAAGAGGCAGAGCCTCTGTGAATCTGCAAAGGAATGAAACTGGCAGAGCAGCGGGAACAGAGCTGGAGCGTCACAGAAGCTGATGGAAGGAACCAGGTTTCACCCAGTTTCCTCCTGGAATAGAGAAGGTATTCCTGCAGTCCCTGGGGAACAGGGAAGGCAAGGCAGTTTAGGGGAAGGTGGGAGATTCGTGGAAAAATAGGAGCCATAGGTGAGTGATAGTGTTCACAAAGGGGTAGCAAAGCATTCTCCATTCTTGACCAGAAAGCTTTAGGTAACTCCCTTAGAGGGTAGAGGGACCAGAACATGGGAGTCCACAAGTGAGGGAAACATTGTAGCACAACAGTGGTGTGAAACATTGTATCTCCTGCACCACCGCATGATGTGGGCGGAATGGAGACCCCATGGTTGGCCATGGTCATGGTGCTTCATTCCACCTGCAGTTTGTCTCAATCTTCAGGATTAAATAGTTGACAATTCCATATGTTTTATTTCCTTGTCTTGTTTTTCCTGGACTCCCTTGGTCCCATGGGTCTCTAGGCTGCCTAAGAGTGTGATGGTGCATCCAGGAAATCAAGGGCTACGATCTTGAAATGTGAGCAGCAGAGCATGGTTCCCTTAGTGTCTTCACAGCCTACGGGGAACAGCTGAACACACCACAGACGCCTGTCTCCATTCTAGAGAGAGGACTCTGAGCACCAGGAGCCATAGCTGCTTCTCTGAAGGCTGCTGTCCTGAATGGGGCCTGGGGTGTCCACCTGCAGAGCCCCCCTTGGCCTCCCTGAGCACTAGAGAGAAAATAAGACAGGAAGCTGGAGTGTGGGGGAGTTTCCACTGGGACCCATGGACCCTGCTCCTCAGGCTGAACTAGACATGGGGGGGGTATCACCCACTCTGTGACTTCAGATCAGACCCCAGATGGTACCTGACACTCAGCAAGTGAACAAAAATGCTCTTGAAGACCCCTGAAGGGACCCACCAGTCCATTCCAAGATCCTCATCAGAAACAACAATTGATCTCTTTCAGGAGCTGAAGAGCCGACCTCTCCTTGAGAAACGGAGCCTGATCTTTGGGCCGCTCTTCCTAATGACTCCTGTCACCAAGAAGGATTTCTGCCATTAAAAACCGTTTCCCAAACCTAACTACCCTGGGCAGGACTCACAGGTGATTTCTACTCCATCAGGCTCGGCGATGCTGCATGTCACCTGGGAAACTGAACACCTTCCCACAGAACTGTGACAGGCTGCGGGCCACAGGTGGAGCCGCGCCTTCCTGGGGCTGGGTGTAAATCCTTTCTCCTCTGTGCAAAAAATCCACTTGACTCCCACCTTTGAGAAAAATGACCCCAAGTAACTGGTAAATATCCACTTTTGCTGTTATTTCTATGGGGGCATTTTCTTTTCCAGATTGTACATCTGAGACTTACAGTGATTTATGCCCAATTGTTTCTTCATCAGCTCTACGTGGAGGGTGGGGGTGGCTGTCAAGTAAGATAGGCTGATCTTGTAATACGGTTGTATTTGTGTTAATATTGCTCTATTTTCCCCAGGATTTCAAAGCCGGGTAATTTGCAAAAAAAAAACAACCATGGGCCCCTGCTGCCATCTAGTGTCCAGGTTTTCTTGTTGGGCGTTTGCACAGAAATGGGTGGTCCCTGGTCTTACCTCTCTTACCTAACCCAGCTTCCCTGCCAGTTTCCCAGGGTCCCTCCAGGGCCCTCTCGGGCCCCAGAAGTAACCTGGCTGTAGAGAGAGACTCTTACCAGCTCCTAGAGGCTCTTCTCCCTTTCATTTTCAAATGAAGGTAAAAGCCCTGATTTATGGCTCAGCTCTAATGCCAAGTATTTAGAGGCATCTCCACAATCGGGATTAGAATAGGTGGGTGCCCAGGGGATGCCCCCCGGCAGCTGTGCGACTTCCTTTCGGCTCCTGTGCTGGGATTTTACCCCCATGTCCCACCTGGGCATATTCTGCTGTCGCCGGGAGCCTGGCTGAGCGGCACTGGAAATATCGTCCTCTCCTCAGAGCTCAGGAAGGAGGTTGAGCGGAGGGAGGAGTAAAGGCAGAGAGAGTGAGGTGCCAGGAAGGGTAAGGACACCCCTGACACCCTGCGAGGACTGAGCTAGGACGCAGTGGGAGAGGAAGGTGCTGTAGCTCATGAGGGGGAGTGGTCTCATTTTAAGTGAAATCGTCTAAGGAGGTGTCAAAATATGAACAGGGTGCTTGAGATAAAATTAGAAATTAAAACCTTTGCACAGAAGAAGATGCTAATGATGCAGAGAAGCTGTGCACGCCCGAGAGTCTTAGAGAATGTGGGTGCGCCGTGGTTGGCGGATGGACGTCTGTGGCTTGTCCGAGGCCGCATCCTAGGCATCGAGGGGGACTAGAGAGCTGGGGACATTCTCTCCCTCACAGAGGGGGCGATGCCAGGGCCAGAGGGTCCCTGAGCCCCTAAGGGCAACGCCTCTCCCAGGAGAGCAACAAGTAGGGGAGCTTAGAATAGCAGAAGTCGGCGTAATCGCAGAATGATGACATTGTTTGCAGTGATCCCTCTGTATGGGGACTGTTGTCATTATTACCCCCTCCCAGTGACAAGGGCTTGGTGATGAGGCCCTGGTGGCCTTGAAGAGCCAAGGGGCCTGCAGGAGGTCACCGCTTACTAAGGGCCAGCTGGGGCTCCCCCTCAGGCCTCTTGCTGCATCAAGGCTGCAAAGCCATCCTGGCCACTCGGCGTCAGCAGGACAGGAGGGCTCCCGCTGACAGGGGCCTCCACCGGCCAGCGCTGCTCATGAGGGGACCCCACTCAAAGGGCCTCTGAGTCGCACGTCTGGGAGGGGCCCCAAGTTCACGTCTCTGTTAAGTGTCCAGGCATCAGGGATGAATGCCACACCGTCTTGGAAAGCACTGCATGGGGCTGCCTTTGGGGTCCAAAAACTTCTTTGAATCCCATATCTGCCACTTTCTAAACAAGTGACCTTAAGAAAATAATCTAATCAAAGCATAATTTGTTCACCAGGAAACATGGGGAGGGCCGTTCACCTCACAGACCTGCTGGAAAACTCAACAATATAAGCACAATGTCTGACACACAGAAAACTCTTAAGAGGAGTATCTTCCTTTCCTAGGTCAGCCTCTGAAGGACGGGAGAAGCCCAGCCCTGCCCCCCAGGGTACTCAGTGGGCTAGAGTCATCCCCATACACCAGGGTTGGGGGGCGATCCCCGGCAGGGCACATACGAGAATCAGTGAATGCCTGAGTAAGTGAACAGCAAATCATCATCTCCTTCAAATCAATAAATAAAAAATGAAAGCCGCCGCCCAGATGGGGACGGCCTTTCCCACCTGTCCCAGCCGTGCTTCGGGGGAGGTCAACG